AATGCAACCGATGAAAGCCAATTAATCAATGTTAGCCAGTATCAGCAACCGATGACAGCCAATTAATCAATGTTAGCCAGTATCAGACAATGCAACCGATGAAAGCCAATTAATCAGCTTTAGCCAGTATCAGAAAATGCAACCGATGAAAGCCAATTAACCAATGTTAGCCAGTATCAGAAAATGCCAACCGATGACAGCCAATTAATCAATGTTAGCCAGTGTCAGACAATGCAACCGATAAGAGCCAATTAATCAGCTTAAGCCAGTATCAGCAACCGATGACAGCACCCTCCAGCAGCACCATTCAATGTTGCCAGCACCATCCCTCATCCCCACTTTCAGTTCCCAGACGCCACCGCGGTCGCCCTGCTCCTCGCCATGCGCAGCGCCGCCCGGAGCGTCTCCAAAGTCACGCTGGCCCCGCCCCCCGACACGTGCAAATGGCTGATCATGGCGGCGTTGCGCACCACGGTGATGCGCGACTCGGCACACGCCTCCTCGGCCTCGCCCTCCAAGTCCGCCAAAAGCACGTGCTGCGGCCCCGTCGCCGTGCCCACCGCCACAAGCCCAAAGGACAGCGACACGCCCACGCGGGCCGCGTCGAGCCGCAAAGGCGAGGCCAACGCCGCGTCGCCGTCCCAACAAAAACGGCCCGAGCCCTGCGACAAGTGGCCGAAGTTGCCCCGCGACCGCACCGGCACACGCACGTTGGGGTCGATGCCCAGGTCGGCCAAGAACACGCGCGGGAGCACGGTGTTTTGCAACGCGGCCATCAACGCATAGTGCACCGCGTCGAACAACGGCCCCACGCGGGAAAACACCTTGGCGTGCGCGTACAACACGTACGTGTACTTCTTCTTGGTGACGTTGATGGTGGCGCTCAAGTGGCGCAAGTCGTCCGCGGCCATTTGCGAGTCGTCCGGGTACGCCACGTAGGACTCGCCGGAGGCCTCGTTGGTGAGCTGGTACCCCGGCACAGCCACAAGCAGCGAGGCCGGGAGCACGTGCAGGTGGAGCACGTGGCTGTGCAAGCGCTGCAGGAGGACCATCTCCTCGTCCGTGGGGGCGCCCGTGCGGCCACGGGCGATTTCCACCACGGGGTAGACGGACGCAAAATGGCCGTGGGCCATGTCCGGCTGCGCCGCGCCCAAAAAGCCGTCTGTGTCGTTGGTTTCCGCGAGCCCGAGCGTGATGCCGCAGAACACGTGCGTGTCGCCGTTCTTGACGGTCGCCAGACCCACGAGCGAGTTTGTGCCCAAGTCTGTGAGCGCCCCGAGATTGGCCGAGAGCTCGCGGAACTCGTCGTACTGGCGCAAGCTGGGGCAGAGGCCGAGCGCGAGGTGCCGCTCGAGCGACACGTCCGGTGTGATTCTGGCAAGCACTTCTGGGGGGAACACCGCCTGGTTGGATGCTGACATGGCGTGGGGGTGTGTTATGTGGGGAGCAAAACGTGGGTTTTGGCGTTGGGCGAGCAGACGGAGATGAGATGCCGGGGTCACGTGTTGCCGGGGTCACGTGACGTGATGGGCCGGCTGGGTAGGGCCGGCGGGGAGGGGGCTGGGCTGGGTAGGGCCGGTCTGGATAGGTGGAATGGTCTGGGTAGGGGTGGATGGTCTGGGTATGCGGCCCTGTTTTTTTCTGCTTGGTAGGATTTGTGTGTTGCGATTAGTGTGCTGATGAAATGCATGTCCTCGGAAGCTGCGAAGATCAGTTGGATCTTATACGGGCGACCTTTGCTCAAACTGTGGGTTTCCACCCGGCCGGGAATGGGAAGGCATTTTATTTTTACTTTTCTGATTTCGGGGACACTCATGAAGCACGGCTTCCAAACGTGGAACCTGAACTTAGGGTTGTCCTCCGTTTGTATTGGAGGCCATGAGAACTAAAGGTGTCCACGACAAATTAGCGCGCGAGGCTCACTACGGCTGCAACAGACAAGAATTCGGTCTCTCGAAATACCACTTTTTTTGGCTCTCACGTGACGGTCCTATCAGCGTCTTTTCAAAACTAAAAGCGTCCAAAGCGGCTGTAGCGGCGGATGCGTTTGTCTTGGCCAGTCCGTCTGTCTAGCTCCAGATCGCATGATTGGCCAGTTCGATATATATACGTGATTCTTTTGAGGTGGTATTGCGTCTGGAATTCACCAGCGGCGCCGGAGGTGATCATTTTCCGCAATATGCTTGTTGTGTCTTTCTTGAACACGAGGAACGAGGGCGACGCTGATCGCAGGTCCTGGCTCCTAGGGCAACGAGTAAGAAGTGGTTCCGGGCCTCTGTTCTACCATGAATTTTATAGTGTTTTTTTTTCCACCACTGCTTGCAAAGAGAGAGCCGAAATTTGCAGGATCCATCAGCCAGCCAGACTCAGCAAAGCGTCGCGTGTCTGGAGGCTCCTACGAATTTCATTCCCGCAGACAAAGCTTATACAACCATACCCTCCATGAGGCAAGGCAAGTCCAACGTTTTATCATTGGTACCGTTCTACATCCCTGTAAGCATATCAAGAGACATGGTGCGTCGAATGAACCAATTATTTCCAAAAATACGACTCATCCAATTGAATGTACTTGGACCACAATTGTATACGTGCTGTCAATGCCTGGTATGATCACAAGTCTGAAGGTAGCTCAACAACGCTATATAAACTCGAACCCAGACGCATTACGTTTAAACAAAAAGCAGTTCACTATTAATACAAAAAGTGCCTTGCGTTTTCTGGACCTCTTGACAAAATCATAAGTTTTTGTTTCTCTCGAGCTCAGAGAAGTCCACAAAGGGCTGGAAAAACTCTTTTGCTAGCTTTGAAACATCAAAAGTACGGAAAATTCAGGGACTCAGAACACGGACCGTGAAGTCTTGGACGTGGTGGCTGATAAAAAATAAAGACTGCAGAAAACTACGATATCGAACGGAAAACTAACAGAGATGTGTTGGGTATTCAGAGTGTGCTCAGCATAGGCATGTCATTTTGCAGATCCGAAATATTCCGGGAGATTCCCACCGTCTATTCAAGAGCTACCCAGTCAGGACTCCTGAAAACACCCTTCCTTCAGAAAGTAGAGACCCTCACAGGACTAGGCCAGGGGGAACCAGCATCCCAAAAGGGGAAAAACTTCCGGGGAAGAGTCAAGATCCTAGGAACAGAAAAAACCCATCCGAGAGAAGGTGCCTCTATCCGGCTAGCTTAGTCCATCTTGGCAGTTGAGCCCTGCTATGCAACAGGCCATGTCGTAGAAAAATGTCAGGGCACCGACGGAAATTGCATTTGTATCGGCAGGGCCTTATCTCCGGTTATAGCTGGGACAATGTTATCGGCCAATCAAGCTGTGTGGATTGCGATATTGCGCAGGGCCGCCCCGCCCGATAGCCAGACTGGAACCACTCCGCGCGCCCGATAAGCGGCGGGGTCTGGGAGGCACGGGTGTGTTCGGGAAAACCCGTGAGACGACCCCTCGTGGTCGTCTCAACGCACCTGCAGGTGCTGCTGCAAGGGTGTGCACATAGCCCCAGTTCCGAGGCAGCGCGACTTTCTTACCTTCCAAGGCGCCGTCATTGGCCGGTTCCGGCGTCGCACGCCGCTGAGTGCAGTCCGCACAGGGTTATCTGACATGGGGCTGAAGAGGGAAAACGGTCCAGTCCACAGTGCCGAGAAAGTCGGCGAAAGCCTAGTGGGCCGTAGTGTGCCTAAACTCCGGCTCCCATAATAAGACCGGGCCTGGCGACCGCGGCGGAATTTTCACCTCCCCACCACTTTTTCTTTTCCTCTTCTTGCTCCAATAATCCACACTCCTCGCTTTTCACGTGTGACTACGAACACTGGGTTGTTTTTGCGAGACCCTTCAGCAGCCCCCCTGGCAAACGCCCCTTACTACTAAACTCTCCTTATTCCCCCACGTGGATATTTCTGCCACAGCGACCCTAGCAAGAAGACCCCGCACAATGTACGTATAGAAAACGCCCCTCCACCTGCTGCCGCGGCGAAAACGAATACTTTCTGCCCAGGCCTCAACTTCTATGCCGGCGGCTAATTTTTTTTTGCCCCATTTGGTTTTCTCCGAGTTGACCCCAAAAACGCCTCTCAGAAAGCCTCACAGCGTGCCGTGACTCACGCTCTTTTTCATTGCTGTTTCTGCCACTGTTTTGGCTGTTTGTCGGCTGATTTTTTGCTGTTGCTTCCCCTGCTTTTGACCGGTTTTTTTGGCGGCTCCCCCCAGCAGTTTCTTACAGCGCTTACTCCCAGCAGTCTCTCCCAGCAGCCTCTGAACTGGTTTTTCGACTGGCTCCTTTCGTCGCTGGCTCGTACCCCCTCGATACTAACATTCCTTCCCAGCAGCTGATGGCTTCCTACATCCCCCAAGAGGGCTTTGAAACCAACGTGTACGACTATGACGAGGTGCCCCAAAACACATCGTGGGCCTCGGCGTTGCCCGTGGCCAAGGGATTGTACAATCCCGAGTACGAAAAAGACGCCTGCGGCGTCGGTTTCGCCTGCCACTTGAAGGGCCAGGTGTCCCACAAAATCGTGTCGGACGCCAAGGATTTGCTCTGCAACATGACCCACCGAGGCGGCGAGTTGAACCCCAAGGATGGCGACGGCGCAGGCTTGTTGCTGTCGTTGCCCCACAAGTTCTTGGTCCGCGAGTTCCTGTACCACTGCAACGTGGCGTTGCCTCCGCTTGGGCAGTACGGAACCGGAAACGTGTTCTTCAAAAAGGACGACCTGGTGTTCGAGAAATCGCGCCAGACCTTCGAGTCCATTGCCGCGTCCTTAGGCTTGAAGGTCTTGGGCTGGAGAGCCGTGCCACACGACTCCAGCATTTTGGGCCCGGCGTCCTTGTCGCGGGAGCCCATGATTTTGCAGCCGGCCATCGTGCTTGCCGAGACCTACGGGCGCGACGTGCCACAAGACGAGTTCGACGCGTGCCACCGCCAGAACTTCGAGAAAAACTTGTTTATTTTGCGCAAGCAGTCGTCGCACACGATCGGCTTGCACAACTGGTTCTACATCTGCTCGTTGTCCACCAAGACCATCGTGTACAAGGGCCAGTTGGCGCCCAACCAGGTGTACGCGTACTACTACGACTTGCTCAACTCCGAGTACGAGGCGCACTTTGCGCTCGTGCACTCGCGGTTCTCGACCAACACGTTCCCCTCGTGGGACCGTGCGCAGCCGTTGCGGATCGTGGCCCACAACGGTGAGATCAACACGTTGCGCGGCAACAAGAACTGGATGCGCGCCAAGGAGGGCGTGATGAAGTCCGAGCTCTTTGGCGACGAGTTGGAGAAGTTGTACCCGATCATCGAGGAGGGCGGCTCGGACTCCGCGGCGTTCGACAACGTGTTGGAGTTGTTGGTCATCAACGGCGTGTTGTCCTTGCCCGAGGCCGTGATGATGATGATCCCGGAGGCGTGGCAGAACGACAAGAATATCGACATGAAGAAAAAGGCCTTCTACGAGTGGGCCGCGTGCTTGATGGAGCCCTGGGACGGGCCTGCCTTGTTCACCTTTGCCGACGACCGCTACTGCGGCGCCAACTTGGACAGAAACGGCTTACGGCCCTGCCGGTACTACGTGACCAACGACGACATCATCATCTGTGCGTCCGAGGTCGGTGTCATTGACGTCGACCCGGCCACGGTCTTGCAGAAGGGCCGCTTGCAGCCGGGCAGGATGTTGTTGGTTGACACCAAGGAGGGCCGCATCGTGGACGACCGCGAGTTGAAGAGCACCGTGGCCTCCCGCTTCGACTTCAAGTCCTGGGTCTCCGCCAGCGGAATCACCTTGGACGACTTGTGCTCCAAGTTGGCCGCCCGGGACGTCGACATCTCGTCGCCCGTGTATGACAAGACGCACACTGTGCAGACCGACCCCAGAATGTTGGCTTTCGGCTACTCGCACGAGCAAATGAACACGATCTTGGCGCCCATGGCCGAGGCCAAGGAGGCCCTTGGGTCCATGGGTAACGACACTGCGTTGGCGTGCATCTCCGAGCAGCCGCGCTTGTTGTACGAGTATTTCCGCCAGTTGTTCGCCCAGGTCACCAATCCTCCGATCGACCCAATCAGAGAGGAGATCGTCATGTCTTTGGAGTGTTACGTCGGGCCCCAGGGCAACTTGTTGGAAATGAAGCCCAACCAGTGCAACAGGTTGTTGTTGAAGTCGCCTGTTCTCTCCAACAACGAGCTTAAAGCCATCAGAAACATCGAGACCGTCTACCCCTCGTGGGCCGTGGCCAATATCGACATCACTTTCAGCCGCGCCGAAGGAATCCAAGGCTACATCAATAAGATCGAAGAGGTCTGCCAGGATGCTTCGAATGCCATCGCTGACGACAAGAAGATCATCGTCTTGACCGACCGTGCCACCAGTTTCGACAGAGTGCCCATTTCGGTGTTGATTGCTACTGGTGCTGTCCACCACCACTTGGTGAGACAGAAGCAGCGGTCTAAGGTCGCCATTTTGATTGAAACCGCCGAGGCCAGAGAGGTGCACCATGTTTGCTGCTTGGTCGGCTACGGCGCGGACGGTGTCAACCCTTACTTGGCCATCGAGACCTTGTGTAAGATGAGAGACGAGGGCTTGTTGAAGGTGGATTTCTCCAACGAGAAGATGTTCAGCAACTACAAGGAGGCTGTTGACGCTGGAATCTTGAAGGTCATGTCGAAGATGGGTATCTCCACTTTGGCCTCCTACAAAGGTGCTCAGATCTTCGAGGCCTTGGGTATCGATAACTCCGTCATTGACCGTTGTTTCGTGGGAACAGCCTCCAGAATCAAGGGTATAACTTTCGAGTACATTGCCCAGGACGCGTTTTCGTTGCACGAGGCCGGCTACCCAACAAGAGAGACGATCAAGCCGGTAGCTTTGCCCGAGACTGGTGAATACCACTGGAGAGATGGCGGAGAGAAAAAGGTCAACGACCCTGCTGCCATTGCCTCTATCCAGGACGCTGTCAGAAACAAGAACGAGAAGTCTTATGAGGCCTACTCCAAGAAGGAGTACGAGGCAATCAAGAACTGTACTTTGAGAGGTTTGTTGGACTTTGACTACGAAAACACAACCTCTGTTCCTATCGACCAGGTTGAGCCATGGACTGAAATTGTGAGAAGATTCTTCACTGGTGCTATGTCTTACGGGTCTATTTCCATGGAGTCGCACTCTACCCTTGCTGTGGCAATGAACAGGCTTGGCGGTAAGTCCAACACCGGTGAAGGCGGTGAGGATTCTGCGAGATCTCAAGTCAATGCCAATGGTGACACCATGCGTTCTGCCATCAAGCAGATTGCCTCTGGTAGATTTGGTGTTACCTCGTACTACTTGGCCGATGCCGACGAATTGCAAATTAAGATGGCGCAAGGTGCAAAGCCTGGTGAAGGTGGTGAATTGCCCGGCCATAAGGTGTCTGAGTCTATTGGTAAGACCAGACATTCCACTCCAGGCGTGGGTTTGATTTCTCCTCCTCCCCATCACGACATTTACTCCATCGAGGACTTGAAGCAGTTGTTGTATGACTTGAAATGCTCAAACCCCAGAGCCAGAACCTCGGTGAAATTGGTTTCCGAAGTTGGTGTAGGAATTGTTGCTGCTGGTGTTGCCAAGGCTGGTTCGGAGAACATTTTGGTTTCCGGAGGTGACGGTGGAACCGGTGCCGCCAAATGGACATCCATCAAGTACGCTGGTTTGCCCTGGGAATTGGGTCTTGCTGAGTCTCATCAAACATTGGTTTTGAATGACTTGAGAGGTAGAGTCATTTTGCAAACTGATGGCCAGATTCGTACTGGTCGTGATGTGGCTATTGCATGTTTGCTTGGTGCCGAGGAGTGGGGTTTTGCCACTACTCCATTGATTGCCATGGGCTGTATCATGATGAAGAAGTGTCACCTTAACACCTGTCCAGTTGGTATTGCCACTCAAGACCCAGAGCTCAGAAAAAAGTTCCAAGGTACGCCAGAGCATGTCATCAACTTTTTCTACTACATTGCCAACGAGTTGAGACAGTACATGGCTAAATTGGGTTTCCGTACCATCAACGAAATGATCGGTAAGACCGAGGTATTGAGAGTTAGAGACGACTTGAGAAACACCAAGAACGCCAACATTGACTTGTCCCCCATTTTGACTCCTGCTCATACCATTAGACCGGGTGTTGCTACCCACTGTGTCAGAAAACAAGACCATCGTTTGCATGTACGCCTTGACAACAAGTTGATCGATGAGTCTGAGTTGACGTTGTCTAAGGGATTGCCTGTGACCATCGACTGTGATGTTGTCAATACCGACCGTTCTTTGGGTACGACGTTGTCCTACAGAGTTTCGAAGATTTTCGGTGAACAAGGTTTGCCACATGATACCATTCACGTTAATGCAAAAGGATCAGCTGGTCAGTCTTTTGGTGCCTTTTTGGCATCAGGTATTACCTTAGAATTAGAGGGTGATGCCAATGACTACATTGGAAAGGGATTGTCCGGAGGAAGAATTATTGTCTACCCACCAAGAGCCTCAACATTCAAGGCTGAGGATCAAATCATTGCCGGAAACACTGCCTTCTTCGGAGCTACCTCAGGAAGTGCTTTTATCAGAGGTATTGCCGCAGAAAGATTTGCGGTCAGAAACTCTGGTGCCACCATTGTAACCGAAGGTACTGGTGATCACGGATGTGAGTACATGTCTGGTGGTAGAGTTGTGGTCTTGGGTAGCACTGGACGGAACTTTGCCGCAGGTATGTGTGGTGGTATTGCTTATGTTTTGGACATGGCACAAGATTTCTTCCAGAAAGTCAACCAGCAAACTGTTGAGTTGTCCAGCGTTACCGAGCCTTCTGAAATTGCATTCTTGAGAGGCCTTATCGAGGACCATCGTCACTATACTGGGTCCGAGGTGTCAGACAACATTTTGAATGACTTCAACAGAATCTTGCCAAGATTTGTCAAGGTCTTGCCTAATGACTACAAGAAGGTTCTCGAGAAGGAGAAGCAAAAGGAGTTGGACGCCAAGAACAACGAGCTCAATAATTTCTTGAAGTCTATCAAAGAAGACCCTGAAAGCGATGCAACTAATGGCGAGGCCTCCAAGATTAAAAGGGGACACGCTCACACCCATGCTGCTAAGAAGGAGCCAAAGGTTTTGGACTTAGAGGACACCATTCAGGACCTCGAACTCGAGAAAAAGGCCGTTGCCCAAGTGGACAGAGTTAAGGGATTCATGAAGTACAAGAGAAGAAATGAAAAGTACCGCCCAGCCAAGGAGAGAGCTGTTGACTGGAACGAGATGACGTCGAGATTGACCAAGGAAGAGTTGAAGTACGAGACCGCTAGATGCATGGACTGTGGTGTACCTTTCTGTACCTCTGATACCGGGTGTCCTATTTCCAACATTATTCCAAAATGGAATGAGTTGGTGTTCAAGGACAAGTGGTACGATGCCTTGCAAAGATTGATGATGACCAATAACTTCCCAGAGTTCACCGGCAGAATCTGTCCAGCTCCCTGCAACGGTGCGTGTGTATTGGGTATTAATGAGGACCCCGTCAACATTAAGTCGGTTGAATGTGCCATTATCGACCATGGCTTCGAGCAAGGCTGGATTAAGCCAAACCCTCCTCAACACAGAACCGGCAAGAGCGTTGCTATCATTGGTTCCGGTCCAGCCGGTTTGTCTGCCGCTGACCAGTTGAACAAGGCGGGGCACAAGGTCACCGTTTACGAGAGATCTGACAGACCTGGTGGATTGATGATGTACGGTATTCCAAACATGAAGTTGGACAAGCGCATCGTCAAGAGAAGAACGGACTTGTTGGAAGCCGAGGGAATTGACTTTGTGTGCGGCACAACTGTGGGTGAGGATGTCACCATCGAGGAGTTGAAATCTGCCCACGATGCTGTTGTTTACGCTGTTGGTTCAACCATCCCAAGAGACTTGAAGATTCCAGGCCGTGACTTTAACAATATTGACTTTGCCATGAAGTTGTTGCACTCGAACACAAAGGCTTTGTTGGAGAACAACTTGGAGGCGATTAGAGAGACGATTGCCGGTAAAAACGTGGTTGTTATTGGAGGTGGTGACACTGGTAATGACTGCTTGGGTACGTCGACAAGACACGGTGCCAAATCTGTCACTAACTTTGAGTTGTTGCCAACACCACCAAACGTTAGACCAAAGGACAACCCTTGGCCTCAATGGCCACGTATTTTCAGAGTCGACTACGGTCATACTGAAGTCGCGGCGCATTACGGCAAGGACCCAAGAGAATACTCGATTTTGTCCAAGGAATTCGTTGGCGATGATGAGGGCAACGTGAAGGGTATCAAGACCGTCAGAGTCGAATGGAAGCGCTCCGACTCTGGTGCTTGGCAGATGGCCGAGGTGCCAGGCTCTGAAGAGTTCTTTGCTGCTGATGTTGTGTTGTTGTCGATGGGTTTTGTTGGCCCAGAGACCGACAAACTTGATGTTGAGAAAACTAGAAGAGGCACGATCACCACCGCGGACCCAAGTGGATACAGAGTATCTGCCAACGACAACTTGTTCGCTGCAGGCGACTGCAGAAGAGGACAGTCTTTGGTTGTCTGGGGTATCCAGGAAGGTAGACAGTGTGCTAGAGAGGTTGACTTGTTCTTGATGGGCTCTACTAGATTGCCTGGTAATGGTTCTGTGGAACAGCGTAACTTCAACTTGTTGGAGGAGTTCGCCGAGAAGGTATAACTTCCAAAGAAAGCTATTACTTGAACGAATTGATATTAATTTGATGCATTGTGCGAATTGAGAGACCCAAGAGCACACGAGAATTGTAGGAATCGTTTGTTGAAGCGCCTGAAATATTTCGTAAGTTTGTAGCTAAGAGTCGAAGATGATTTAGCTCCGTTTTGCTTGACCTCGCCCTGGTTGATGGGGCTCCTGGACTCATAAAAAGGCTTAATACATAGACAGGGTTATCCACGGAAGTACAGAACTTTCTTGGTTGGTTGTGGTTTTAAAAACTCACGCAAATCATCTTTGATACCATGTGATTTCACTTTTCTGGCGAGTAAGCCGTCGCTTAATGGCGTGTACTTTCCCTCACACGGCGCTCAAATCATGTGTACGTCGTCATTTTGGTTCTCTATTTTTGTGGGGCTAGATTTGGTTGATATTTTTAATCATAAGCACTATGTCTTCAATTGAATGGGTTACTGCTTGCCACATGGAACCTGGAGAGGTAACAGACAATATGACGATATTTGCGTTTCGAATATCTCGGAGCAGCGTACTGTAAAGATTTTTCTAATTGATTCAATGAACAATGTAAAGTTTGAAAAATGTATTCTGAAACAAAAGATATCTAGAGCTCAGAAGGAAACCCGCCATCGGAGATCCACACATTGAAAAATTCGCCATTGTCCAGATAGACAACCCTGTTAAAAATTAAAATAAGAGATTCGGAGGAAAGACGAGAAGCGTATTAGGGCTGGAATACCCTGGACGGATAAAATAAAAGATACTTGGCCCGAGTCTTAGTTCTTATCTTGTATGAGTTTAAGATACTCAGAATGCTCGGGACTGCATACCAACACCGCATTGGTATAGTTATGGCGCCCTATCCGCGTGTGGTTACCAGAAGATACGGGAAAACCGAGGCCAGGGGCAAGTTCTGTCGGTAATGTCTCGGGAGGTTCCGGGGGTGCGCAATTCTAAATTTGGAAAAATGCGCTTCATCGAAAGCAGATTGCCAGGTGATGTGCAGGCCAAAAATCTGAATGTTGCCGAAATACGACAAACCCCTACTGAGCCATACCACGAGGACTGTGATCAAGAGAGAAAAGTTGTAAGATTTTTGGGCTCTTTATTACATATGCATTTTTTTTTGTCGAATTGCTTCTCACATGGGTGAGATGTTTTGTCGCATTGGTGCACTTCGGGGCGTAGGCTAAAAATGCCGCATAAGCCATCAATAACAAAAACAAAAACAATCAATTCCCATAAGGCTTTGCGAAACAACCTGCTGTGGACCTGGACTTACAAAACGCTTCTCGAATCTGCGAGTGGGATAGAAGGAGTAGTGCCGTCCCACTCGCATGGAAAGCAAAGGTGGATATTTACACCAGCATTTCACAATAGGAGGGGTGCATGGGCATCAGCCCTCGGAATTCTCGCGAATCATTGTATTTCCGTTTGTGGACCTTTAAGTGGCCGCTGGATGTGATGCGAAGCACTTGGCCTGCAGTCCCGCATCGCTTTTGTCAGGCGAGCCCTTGTTCCAGTTGGGTGGTGCCGGATGGTTTCTAATTACCCGGGCTGCTCCCCCTGACTCTTCTACAATGCAGTAGCCCACATGTTCTTAAAGAGGTATATTACTATTCCTCCTTTCCTCACAAAAGTTTTGCCCATAAGGTGTAGCAATCATATAAGAAATGCGAAGTTAGTATTGTCAACAGAGGGCTGGTTTGCAAGGCGAACTGCTGCGAGTTTGTTGTGTTTTGAATCCCGGTGCGCATGGGCCGAGTCTAGTGTGCAGCACGCTCACCAGGGTGCACTACCGGAATGGCGCAAAGGCCAATCCCGCTGCCCTCGGTGCGACATTCTGACCATACAATTTGCAACAAGGCGGAGCGCCCAGCCCTAGGAAGTGTGCAGACGGGGGTTCTTTTTTTAATTTTTTTTCATCGTGGACTGTTTCAAAACTTTATAAATAGCTGATTCGCCTCACCACGGCACTCGCGGCTCCGGTTTTTGGAATCGGTTATAGTTTTCTTCACATCTGCATCCATTCGCTATGCAATACAAATCTTTGGTTGCCGCTGCCGCCGTTCTTGGCTTGGCTGCTGCTAACAGTATGTGTTTTTTCAAGACTCCCGGCGAATTTTAATCCGCCAGCGGCCCTTTCATATTTCTCGACGGCGATATTTTTTTGGCGCTGGTACCTAGGTTGATTCATTGAATTTCAGTAAGCGAGACTGAACCACGGTGGGACCATATAGTATCTGAACGTGTATCCGTCACCGGATCCTTTCCGACAGAAGCCGCAAACTAAATAGTCACGGAAGACCCCATATGTTTCTCACGACTGGCTTCAGATTGATTCGGGAACAGCCAAACAGCCAAACAGCCAAAGATTCTGCTATCATCCAGTACTAGATCCGACATGGTGACTATCGTGGATATGCGCCGGAGCTTGTGCGCAAACAGGGTTTCAGCTGGGCCGCGGAGGCCCGCTCGAGCCGTCTCTGAAATATCTCTGAAACGCCCTGCAAACTCTTCCGAAACGCTCCCCAATCATCTTGGAACATTCACTCGCCTCCAGCCATATCGCCCGATCCGTCCATATTCTTCCCCCCTGCTCCCTACTAACTAGAACAGACTCCACATTGACCACAGCCACGCCCTCTGTGACCCTGTCGTGTTCCTTCAAGGACTTCACTGCAACTGCCCTGTCGCAGGTTGCCTCGGTGGCCGCATGTGCCACTGCCGTGGGAGACATTTACATTTCTGGCGATGCGTTTGGCGCCATCGATCTCACCGGCGTCGAGCGGATCTACGGAGACTTGAACATTAACGGCACGCAGCAGGCCACGTCGTTCAACGCCCCCACTTTGGAGTTGGTTTCGGGCGAGCTTCTGATCTCGTACGCCACGATCTTGGCCAGCGTCAACTTGGCGCAATTGACCACCGTCGGCACGTTGACCTACAACGCGTTGCCAGCGTTGGAGTCCACCGGCTTGACCACGGGTGTCACCTCGGCCGAGAACATCTTGTTCACCAACACCGGCTTGACGTCCTTGAGCGGTATTGATGTCTACGAGTTGACCACGTTCGAGGTCAGCAACAACGCGGACATTGCCACGATCGACTCCGGCTTGGAGTCCGTCACCACCCTCTTAACCATCAACTACAACTCCGACAAGGTCGAGGTGTACTTGGACCTGTTGACGTCTGCCAAGAGCGTGATTTTCCAGAGCATTGCGTCGCTCTCCGTGGCCAACTTGACCACCGTCAACGGCTCCCTTGCGTTGCAGTCCAACTCGTTCGACTCGTTCGAGTTCCCTGTGTTGACTTCCATCGGCAACTCGCTCTCCATCGAGGACAACGACAACTTGGAGGAGTTTGACTTCCCCGTGTTGAAGACCATTGGCGGTGCGCTCAGCATCGAGGACAACGACGAGTTGAGCTCGTTCTCCTACTTCCCCAACTTGACCACCATCGGCGGCTCCGTGACCATCGACGGCGACTTCGACAACGGTACTTTCCCCAGCTTGACCAAGGTGTCGGGCGGTTTCAACTTGACCACCACCGGCGACTTGTCGTGTGACGCGTTCACCGAGTTGAACAGTGATGGAGACATTGAGGGCGACGAGTTCTACTGCGAGGGAGCTTCTTCCACGGTGTCGTCGTCTTCTGCCAAGACCACCACCACCAAGAGCACTTCCACCGGAACGTCCGGCTCGTCGTCGACGTCCACTTCCTCCAGCACCTCGTCCACCAAGAGCTCTGGCGCTGCCCCAGCCGCCGGCTTGAAGTTGGTTTCCGTCGCCTCGTTTTTCCTTGGTGTCGGTGCTCTCTTGTTCTAAGCTACACATTGCCTTTTCTGGCGTAGTTGGCAACGCCTCTTAATTATTTAACCACTTCTTTACACGCGTTTTTACTACACTTCGATTCCGAGTGAAATACTCTTTGAAATCAGGCGGCCGCGGACGCCGCCGTTAGTGCTCTGCAAAAGCACCGGACCCAAAATACATACTATGTTTGTCTTTCTGTTGTAGCGAAGCTGAGGCGGCGTATTTGATACTGCTAGATGTGCGCTTATCGACTCTGTTGGGGATTTGAAACGCCTCCTGGTACTTGGAACGAAATAGACTGAAGAAAGAAGTAGGTCTGAAGTAGGAATGAGGAATAAAGTAGGAATGAACTAGGATGAGGAATGAAGTAGGAATGAAGTAGGAATGAAGTGGGAATGAACTGATGATGAACCAGGAATGAACTCGGAATGAACCAACAATGGTTCTTCTTTTAAAGCTCGCCTGTGCATTCCGGTATGACTTGTGATTCATTGGATGGGAGCTACAAGAATAACGTCAATCATTTTCCCAAACTCCCAAGAATAAAAATACTCTCTCATTGGATTGAGATCTCAGGGGTAAATATAAATTCCCGGATCCGTCACCCCGCCACAATAGGTGTATGCCATCTGAAAAACACAAGCGATGTCTACAATAGCATGAACAGTAGAGGCAACATGATCAAACAAAACAGAGGCCAAATACTGGGCAATGCCGCTTGCAACCGGCGCCAACAATCTACATTCACGAAACAGTCGCTATATGAGAACACGGTGCTTCTCATAAGCCCTGAGACGCATCAATTGAAGAACATTCTCTCCACACGCTCATAATTTGCACCCAAACCAGCGTGTCTGTATGCACTACATACACCGTCGGCGAGTTTGCAGGTCCCGATCAATCTAGCTGGAGAAAAGTTAGCTCTCCGTAGTCATTGTATAAAGTACTGGGATATTTATCCGAATTTCCCAGGAGCACAGAGGTGCTGAAAACAGTCGTCTCAGGCAGAAGCACCGACATGCGCACGTGACCCGCGTCCCAAAAATAGCCAGCAAGCCCTGAACTCGAGCCATCATAAGAAGCACATGCAAAATAAACTAACATACTCTCTGCGGACCAAAAGATGCCAACTCGGTCCGAAACCGCCCAAATTGGTCTGAAACCGCCCAAATTGGTCTGAAACCGCCCAAAAGGACCAAAGCCACCCCGGTCCGAACAGCCAATTCTGGGCCGGGGCGCGCACGACCCGCGTCACGTGGGGCGCACCCTTGAAGCCTGCACGATTGCCCAACATTATTAGGACGGCGGCTACTCCTCTCTTTATCCCTAGTACAGATCTAAAGGTCCCCCATATCGCAAGACCTCTTAGATATAGCAGATACTTCCGAATCGAACGATGAAACTCGTGAACTTGGCCGTGTTGGCGTTTGCGTCGTGCATCCTCGCCAAAAACATTGTCTATTTCGACGCACTTGTTTCGGCCATGAACAACGACAAGCGAGAGGCGAAAAACATCGTGTCGCTCGACGCGCTCAAGGCGGCCAGCGGCAGCGGTGTGTATGAAGAAGAAGCGGCGGGAAACGCAGATCCGGCGGCCCGCAAACGCGACGAGCAGGACGTTTTCCATATGTCGGCACCCTTGCTCCAAAGCTTGCTCCCCCAGGTGCCGCAGATCTCGGTTTTCTCGAGCTACTTGCGAAACGACGCGAGGATGGCCAGCCAGATGGAGAACGCCGGCTCGTTTGTGTTGATTGTGGCGCCCACGGACGAGGCGTTCGCCAGGTTTTCCGCCTCCACAGGCAAGAAGCCGTGGGAATTCCCGCAGGAAGTCCGCGACGACGACACGGACGACCAGGTGATCAGCGCCAACCTCCGGCACTTTGTGGAGGCCCACGTGTCGCGGCCGATCGACCGGGAGCTGGCGGAAAACGCGCCCATTACGCTTCTCAGCGGCGAGGAAATGACCATCGAGCGTTTGGCGGGGCCGGACAGCTACCAGGTTACGGTGGGCGACAAGCAGGCGGCGGTGGCGTCGATCCGCCAGGCGGAGAACGGCGTGGTGTTTGTTGTGGACACGCTCTTGGTGTAGCACGGCGGCCGTGGACGCGGTTCTACGTGCTGGGCAAGGATCTGTTTTGTTGATTGTATTTATTCTGGAAATAAAGTGTCAAGCGGAAATACTGTTTGTGGGCGCGACTGGGCAAAGTGAGTCCCGTGTGAGTCCGTAGTGGGTGGGGAGTGAGGCCGTGGTGGGTGTGGAGTGAGTGCGTCGGGTGTCCGTCTGATGCGCCCAGCACGAAACTGGTGTGGTGAATGAGCCGTCCGGGTGGCATGAGACGCCCAGTGTATCTGACGTCTGGTGAACCAGAGGTCCATTGTATCAGAAGCCCAGGATCAGAGGTCCAGTTCAGAGGTCCAGGATCAGGGGTCCAGTATCAGGGGTCCAGTATCAGGGGTCCAGTGTATCAGACATCCAATTCACATCCAGCAGACACCCAGTACATAGACATCCAGTAGGCATCCACAACACAGACGACCGGTCAGACAAGTCCTGTCACATCAGACGCCTGGCAGGGGCCCGCCGCGCCAGGCGCTCACTGCTCCAAGCTCACCACGCCCTGCTCGGCCTCGTCCTGCCCTCCAACCTTGTACTCAAGCTTCCACTTGAACCGCAACGGCTTGGCCGCGGGGTTCTCCACGACATACTCCTGCGAGAGGCCACGCTCGCTGAACGCGTACACGGAGTCGCCGCTCTGCGGGCGCAAGTCCAACCTGCAGCCCTTGGCAGCGGCCACCATCAACCTGACGCTGGTCTTGGGCACGGCGGCCTTGTTGCTCACGTAGAACACTCCGTGGTGGCGCGTGGCCGTCGAGTCCGCGAGCGTGGCGGCCTCCAACTTGACGCCGGCGGTCTCGTGCACCACGGCCGCGGGGCGGGCCGTGCCGGCGGGCGCCTGGTGCACCTGTGCCGGCGTGGCGGTGGGGAAGCTGAATCCAAACGGATCCAACTGCGAGCCGTTGGCCGCGGCGTTCGGCTGGGCCCCTGGCACGTTCAGCTGGGCCCCCGGCAAGTTCAGCTGGAGCTGCGGCGACGGCGACGCGAGGCCGGCCAACAAGTCCGGCGTGCCTCCCGCGCCCTGGCCCGCCGGCGTGGGCACCGGCTGGTGGAGCGGCGCGCCGAGCTGGATGGAGCCGCCCGCGCCGAACAAGTCGAGCGGGTTCAGCGGCGCCGCGGAGTCCGTGAACGCCAAGTTGGACAAGTCGCTCAACAAGTCCTGGTAGCCCTGCTCGTCCTTGCCCGAGGCGTCGGCGCTGAGGGGCTCGTCGTCGAAATCAATCAAGTTCAGGTCGGCCGCGGGCGGCGCGGCGTCGGCGGCACGGCCGCGCATGCGCTGGTACTTCGCCACCAGTTGGTTGATGGCGTCGTTCAAGGCGAGCAAGTCGTGCACGTAGGCGTCGTTGTCGTGCTCCTCCTCGATGATCTTGCCCACGATGGGCTGCGCGGACTTGACCGCGCCGTACAACTCGTGCACGGTGTCGGCGGAATCGTCGATGGCCGCGCCGGACGCCTCGATGGACGCCAACATGTCCGCGAAGATGTCGGCCTTGCGCCTCAAGCGCGCCACGTCGTCCTCGACCTGCTTGCGGTTCTCCTGCACGTGGTCGTCCCGGAAGCCGGCCATGATCTTCATCAAGCGGTTGGCCTCCTGGAGGTCCTGCGGCTTGCCCCGGCGGATCAACTCCTGCAACTTGGCGCTGTGCACCACGGCCTCTTCCTTCTGGATGTCCTCGAGCGACTGGATGGCGGCCGAGGGGTTCAACACCGCCGCGTCCTCCACCTTGACCTCCGGGAACACGTAGCCCTTGTTGGCCAACAACCGGTGCATGTCGCGGATGTACCCGAACTCGTCCTTATAGCGCGACGTCTTGCAGATGGTCTGGTACCACTCCTCGATGTGCGCCAAGATCATGCGCTGCACGCGGCTGTAGCGCAACGTGGGCCGCTCGGGGAACTTCTTGACCAACTCGTTCAAGAACTCCTTGCGCGAGATCTGCAACTGGAACGGGAACCCGCAGTTCTTGACGAGGTTGTCCAACAAATGGAGCGCCAACTCCGACGTCTGCGGGTCGCGCTGGTTGATCAACTTGACGATGGCAATGGCCGTTTCGCGCGGCGCCGAGCCCTGCTTGGCATTGACGTAGTCGCAGATCTCCAAGTTGAGTGCGAGGTTGGGCTCCTCCATGGTGGGGCGGCATGCCCGGTCTGGTTCTGTTAGTAGCACGCTGGTGAGCCGAGGAGCGGGAGACGCCTGGACTGCGCAAAATTGCGGGCAATCCAGATTGAGCGGGGCAATCCTGGTTATTGGGGGTATCCTGATTAGGCCGGGCGATTCTGATAATGCCGGGCGATCTTGATTATCCGGGCAACCAGACTTAGCCGGACAATCCTGATTATGCCGGCAAATCCAGACTAAGCCGGGCAATCCAGATTACACCGGCAAATCCAGATTATCCGGGGTAATCCAGATTATACGGGACAAACCAGATTCCGCTGGGCAATCCTGATTGAGCTGGACAATCCTGATTCTGTTGGGCAATCCTGATTGAGCATGGCAATCCTGATTATTCCACGCAATCATGATTATGCCTGATTAAGTTGAGAACCATGATTATGCCAGGCAATTCTGATTATGCCGGGCGATCCATATTGATCCGGACAGCGGCAAATCCTGATTACGCCTGGCAATCCAGATTAAGCTGGACAATCCAGACTAAGCCGGGCAATCCAGACTAAGCCGGGCAATCCCGGTTCCCGATGGACGATCCAGATTAGGCGAGACAGCCCAAAAACGCCTGGACAGTCAAAAAAGACCTGGAGACCCAAAACCAAGACCTGGGCCTCTCCAACCTCCGCCGGCATCCCATAATTCCATCCCTGGGCTGCCGTATAATCTGTTTGCCGCCGTCTGGGCGCCCCGCAGGCGGGCCTGGCCGCACCCGGCCATCTCCAAAAAAAAAAACACATACATATTCTGCGCAAGAGCTTCGGGTTGATGCTGGAAAGCGAGTACGACCCGGAGCTGCTGGTCATTTTGGTTATCTGGGGTTATGGGACTTGGAACGGTGCTGGTGTATCGGTGCGGTATCGGTGCGCCGGCTTGCCGTGGTGCACGGGTGCGCGCGGCCTGGGGCCGCGCCCTTGGGCAATTCGGCTATATTATAGGGCCGATGGGAATGGAGTCCATGAACCGTCCGGAAATCCCCAAAACACGGGGATTTTAAGGGCCATTTTTAGGGGTGATTTTTGAGACCATTTTCCAGGGTGATTTTTGAGGGTAATTTTTGAGGGTGATTTTTGAGGGTGATTTTCGAGAGGACGGTTTTCGAGGGCGGTTTTGAGGCCAATTCCCAAGGCCCCATTCAAGGGCCAGTTTCAAGAGGCCGCGTCAAATGGGTGGGCCATCCTCTCAAGTCCCAAGATTTCTGGCCCTTTCTTTCTGGTGGGCTTGGGCTCGTCAATATTCCTTTTTGTGTCCCTTAGCTAGCCCCGGTAGAATTTCCTAGTATGGCAAGAATGCGTTCGTTGCCGATTGGCCGACCGATTCGGTCAGTCACGTTTGAAACCCGACGATTTGCCAACTCTGTTTATTAGCATGTGTTTGACGTGGACCTTGGGCTGGGAACAAGGAGGCGGCCGGCTTTTCGGAAAAGAAGGCCGCAGGATGTGAGCTCCTGAAGTCCGCTCCAACCATCCAAGTTGAACCGGCTACTACGGAAGACTCATCCAAGAATTAATGACGTAGTATTCAATACGTAAACAGATACAGGCCAAGAGGACTGTCCAGGCCGTGACTAACGGGAGGGGCGGGCTGAGTTTCGACATACGTAGCTGAGAGGTGTATAAAGGTTTTATGTATATTGTTTGTGTGGCTTTTAAGATTAATGCACCTAAAAAAGGAGCCCAGACCGAGCAGTTGTTTGCAATTCATCGCCATATTAATAAAAGCCCGAGTCTGGTGTTGCGTGCAGGACTAGGTGTAACAGGTGGAACGGTATGTTTGCAGGAAGGCATAGTGGTAGAAAGGTATGGTGGTAGAAATTTATGGTCAGAGAGGTATGGATCTGCAGAAGGTCTGAATTTGTAGAAGTTATGGTTTGCAGAAGGGTCGTCTGGTGTAGAAAGAAATGGTTGGTGTAGAAATGGTTGGTGTAGAAATGGTTGGTGTAGAAATGGTTGGTGTAGAAATGGTTGGTGTAGAAACGTATGGCTTTTCAGAACAAGATGCTTGGAACAGCGCCTTGCCAAAAAGCTTACTAGAAGCCATTCTCTTGCGCATTCACCTTGTTTCGCTTTCAATTTGACAAGAGATTTAGAACAGAGCCCGAATGAAATGCTGGTGGTTGAATGTTTCCTATCTCCGTCGCAATGTCTTCTGGTCGAGTCCATTTACAAACCCCAATTTCATTCAGCACAATAGACTCATATCATGTCACGGTGTCTTCAGCTACCAATTCCGGCTACTCCTTTCTCATCTGGTGAAGTGTAGGTTTCCACGAAATTCTACGTGTGCCTTGAGTTCCATAGCTAGGTCTTGAGGGAAAGTATTTACTCAAAGTTAACAAGCTTATGTAGTTTTTGATAGTAATACAAGTCTCATATACCAAGACAATTCGAATTCACAATTCTTAATGTACTCGAGGTGGTATATACTAGTTGCTACTATGTTTACTGGCACCTGGATAGTACCTTCATACTCAGATTCATATCGCAATAAATAGTCCGATTGGTGTAGATAACCATTCGTACAAAAACTGATCACTCAAGAAATTTCATATTGGCGCCTATGTATTGCAGTGCCGGCTCTTGGTGATAGCTTCATTAATTCTTGCCTGAGTTCATTAGTCTCCCTAAGCCATATCTACAACAACTGCGAAACATCCAAATACTGGTGGCAAGAGCTAAAATCCCATGAGCTTGAACTCAATGTTGGCCCCAGCCGACAACTCATTGGAGAACTTGACCAAATTAAATTGGTTTGTCACCACGATCTTCAAGGTCTACACTAGAAGGCGTGTCGAGTCGCAGGAAGTGGGCTCCTTAAGTCCGCTACAACCAACTGAGTTGAAGCGACTACTACAGGAGACCTATCCTAGGAGTCGATGACGTAATATCCAATATGTAAACAGATACGGGCCATGAGGACCGTCCAGGCCGTGACTAATGGAAGGAGACGGGCCGAGCTAAGACCCTTGGTACGTAGCTGGGAGCTGTTTAAAGGGTTTTCATATATATTATTTATATAATTTTGCCTCTTTAATCAGATGAATCTACCAAAAAAAAAGTCTCTGTTCGCATTTCTGGGGTAATTTTCGAAAATACGCCTTGAAAATCCCACCTTTCTTTTGGCACTACAAATGACTTAAAACATTTCGCTGTCATATCTTCATAACGGTGATTGTATAATTGCAGAAGCAGCATCTGATCTCCCATATTTTCATATCCCCGATGCTGTCGGACTCATATCATGAGTTACTGGGCAAACAGCTGGGTCACGTTGAGCTGTCCTTCAATAACTTTGTGATGCCAATGTCCATGTAATTTGCGATGCAATGCTACATGTGCTTTTTTTATATGATTCCACAGCCAACGAAGAAACGGCCCCTTGAATTTTGTCCAGCTTATGCCATTGTTGTCCCAATACTCTTTATTGAGCAACACCATCGAATCCATTAAAGCCTCTGGTCCCAGTTCGCGTATATACCCGAGCGAAGCCCGCAGTTTACACCCGCCTCCCTCGACCAATCAGTCCTGATTTAAATATGGTATTTCCAGCAAATAAAGATGGCTTCATGTTGCGCGACGCTATATATCCAAACTAATTCCTTCAAATCTCGGCTCATAGCATATTCAGCATGGCGGCCTCCTTCTCAAGTGATGTTTAAGTAATACATCTCACATCCATGCTTTAGATAAGGCTCCCTTCGATGCTTCAGATAGATCTACCATCGATTCTTAGATAGATCTGCCAACGATGCTTCACATAAGGCTCCCTTCGATGCAAGAAAACCGTGTTTTCAATCCACAAACTACCTACTCTGTTCAGTATCACTCGAAATAATCTACCATCTTAAATACGTATGGTCCACTGCACACACCACCGCGAAGAATATCAATACCTCTAGCTAATTAAAACATCGGTACCTCCCGCCGTGCCACTAACCTCCTCTCAACTTTCTGAGCCGCCCGCAAACTGCCCATCTGACAGGAAATATACTGGCGTGCTGTCAGCCGTTTGTCTGCCCTCGTCACGTGCCCTCCCGTTCGGCCTGAAATGGCGCAATCCCCGAGTCCGGACGACGATCCGCTCCTGTTGAAAGACCTCGCGGTGGACTTTGACTATCTCATGTTCAAGATCAAGGACCATATCCTCGGCCTTGCGGAACTCACAAACACGTCCGTGGCGTCCAAGAAACAGCTCATTGAAAACGACTACTTTGCCCAGCAGCTCCAGTTGGACGCCCAGCTTGCGGACGCAGACAGCACCCTAAAAGAGTGCGCGGAGCTTGAAATGCTATTCCTAAAGTTGAGCCAGTTGCGCCAGTTTGTGGACGGCTTCAAGACGCGGCTCGCCTCCTTAGAACACGAGTATGCCAAGAAAGAACAGCCTTGACCCAACACGGCGGTGCGTGCACGGCCCGGCTCGTCGTTGCTTTTCCTGGAACAGCCCCCGCATATGATGCCCCGAATGGGCTCACACGGCTCGCGCGGGATCCCCATAAACACCCGTGATTTGGCCGGAGCCGTTTGTGTTTCCCCCATGTTCGGCATGGCGCGCCTGGGCCGCTCCGCCTTTCTTGTGGTGCTTCTCAACAAGATACTTCTCTAGCATGACGAAGTTCCGCAGGTTGCACTTGTAGGCAATGTTGATCAAGTCGCCCACAATGGGTATCAACCCAATACCGAAATCGAACGCCACGTTGGCCATCATTCTCAGGCGCAACAAGGCCGGGAGGCCGCCCTCTATTTTCTCCGCTTTCCGCACGAGCTGGAGCGCCAACGATGCGGCGATGATGTCCCCGATGCCCGGGAGGAGCCCGATGATCCCTGCCCATCCAAGACGTAGCCCGCAGAGGCTCAATTGGAGGTCCAAACGGTACGCTTTCCGTTTCACCGAGTTGAGCACCTTCAAGTCGTCGCCCTGGATGATGTCTGGAAGCTTCCTCTTTCTTGTGGCGCCCTTGCGCTGATAGAAGTGCAATTCATCTTCCGGAATGGGCTCGTGGTACGGATCCTCGGTGTCCCCGACCTTCACCACCGAGTCGAGGTTCGTCTGGCATGTTAGTATGTTTCTACGCTTGGTGTTTCGCGACAGGCACGTACTTTCTTCAAGAAGTATTGATAAAATATTTGGGACATTGGCAAGAACTCCGACACCGGGGTGTTTCAAGCGCAAACAACGGTTTGCTCCGGGCGAGGTATTGTTGCTCATGTCTCACCCATATACATGATCCTGCAAGGCGAGACGAGGGCCCCCAACGCGGCTATGTACAGGACGCCAATGAAACACGGGTGTTCTTCCGGGTCAGATTCTGTTCTGCTCCTTCAACTTGGCGAAGTAATCCTTGCGCATCATCCGCAAGTCGGGCGGCTGCTCGATGCCGATGTTCTCGCGGAACTCATCGATGTCGTTTTCGAGTAGTTTTTCCCAGTACACGTTGATGAGGGGCTTTGAGTTGAGCCCGCTCTTGAAAGCCCACGGATAGTAGATGTTGTAGAGCCTTTCTCTCTGGGCCTTCTTGAGGCGGAAGGGCGCCGCAAGCGCACCCAAGCCGGGCATAAGAATCCCCATGTTCATGAACTCCAAGACCTTGACGGCAATCTCGCCCTCTATAATAATGGGCAAACCCGTGATCGTGTGGTAGAAGTCGTGGCATTCCCTGTACCTCTGGTAGATGTACGCGAGCTCGTCGTCGTCGATGTATCTGACGGCCACCCTCGTGTCAGGCGAGACGCCCTCGCGGTCGAGCCATTTCACGTACGTCTTCCCGATCGTGTTGTCGGGCAACGACCTCAAGTGCAGCAAGTCGAGCGACGTGCTTGTGATTCTTGGGCGCTCCCTTAGGATTTCGCGGCCGACCGGGTCCGAGAGCATCTGCCTCTGGAGCCGTTTCAACACGGGTCTGATGGCGGTGGACTCGCCGAGCGCGACGATGTTCTCGTTCCTTTCGGGGTGGAAGTACGAGCCCACGCCCGAGCCTGCGAACATGAGGAGCTTCTCGATGTTGTAGAGCGGGACGTGGCCGGGGTAGTCGGGGAGCCTGCGCCGGAAGTACTTGTTGCCGGCGGGCTCGCCCTTGGACTTGTTCAACGCGACGTTGGGGTTCTCGTAGTGGAGTTCGCCCCGCTCCATTTTGGACGCGAGCCGGTTGTTCTCGGTGAAGAGCACGGAGCCGACGAGCGTCGCAAGAGTGCCCAAGACAAAGGGCCTCTTCTGCACGAGCGAGCGGGGGAGGAAGGAGCGCGAGAGCATGGCTCGGGAGGCGCGATGGTTCTCGCGGAGAATGCGCCTGGGCACAAAGGGGCAGCTGGGGGTTCGACCGGAAAGCGCGCGGAATCGCCAGTGAGACAGCAACTAGTTCAGAGACTGGTGCCAGCGTACTTGTGAGATGGGGCGTTGGGGCGTAGCGGACGCGGGCCCTGCGAAAATCGCACCACCGGAGACGCCCGAAACCCCCGTGCACCGCTCAGGCGGCCTTCGAGCTCTGGTAGAAGAGCCCCGCCACGACCACGAAAAAGCCCACCACCACGCCCTGGGTGTGGTAGGGAAGGAGGGCACGGTGCACGTAGCCGGCGCAGGCCACGAGCGTGGAGGGCACGAGCTGGCGGGGCTGGGCGGAGGGCGCCGGCGTCTCGGCGGGCTCCGCACCGGACGCGCACGCGTCGCGGGAGGGCGGCGCGGGGCCGATATCGGAGGCGCCGCGACCGGCGGGCGGGGGCAGGCGGCGGGCGGGCTTGCTTTCGAGAAGCGACGCCACGAAGTGGTTGCGTGTGCCGGCGCTGGCGAGAGGGGGCCGGGCGGGGGACTGGGGCGGCGCGTCTGCATTAGGCCGGGCGGATTTCGCAGCCATTTGCATGTTGCGCGAGGCCGTGTTGCCCGATGTGGAGGGGCCGGTCTCGAGATTCCTCATTGTGGAGGCACCAGACTCGAGATGACCCGATGTGGAGGCACCAGTCTCGAGATTGCCCGATGTGGAGGGACCAATCTCGAGATGGCCCAATGTGGATGCACCAGTCTCGCGATGACCCGATGTGGAGGGACCAATCTCGAGATGGCCCAATGTGGAGGGACCAATCTCGAGATGGCCCAATGTGGATGCACCAGT